GGTCCCTGGGGCTCTGTCCCAGCTTGGGGGGGTGTCCAGGGGGAAGGTGACTGAAGGACAGGAGGTGGGGACTGTCCCCTGCACCCCCATCTCCCGTCCCCCATCGAAGCAGCGCACCCACACCACTGTCATGAGCTTCAGGTGGTCTCAGCCCTACGGATGGAGGGTGGGAGGGGGGGTCCCAGCCATGGGCTGGAAGGGGAGAGGTGGCCGGAGAAGGGGGGGGGACAGGCTGGGACCCCGATCTACAGCAAGAGGGATTTGGGAGCGCAGGACAGATGGAGGCCAAGGGCCCCAAAGCAGGATAAAAGGTTTAAGCTAATCAAAATGCCTGGCTAATTGGTAAGGCGCTTAGGGGCTGGCTGGGGGGCGGCGGGGCTGGAGGTGACCCGCTGCTGAATCAGAGGGGCCGGTAACCTTAGCCCGGGGGGGGGGAACGGATACGCCGGCCCCGCGCCCGGATCGGGTTCCCACCCAAGTTTTCCACCCCACGGCTTGACGGGGCGAGAGCCGGGGACGCGGCGAGGGACGGGCGCAGCCGAGGAGCCACCTCGGGGGGGGCTGCCGCTGTTGCCCCCCTCACCCGGGGTCTCGGCGAACACCCCGCTGCGGGTTACGGCCACCCCGGTGCCCGCCGCAATCTCTCCGGACTCGTTAATCCTACCTGGGGCTAATTAAACGGGCTGTGGGGCCATCCCGGTGTGCCCACCCTCCCCAAACCACCACCGCCTCGCCGTGCCACAACCGTCCCACCGGGACCAGTGCGGCGGCGGCACCGGGTCGGGGCAGACGTTCCCCCCCCTGCCACGACGCCCGGGGCTCGGTAGGGGCCGGGGAAGCCCCCCCAGCCGCCCCCCCCGGGCGCCGGGTGGAAAATGCCAACGAATGGGATCCACCAGGTCCTGAAGATCCAGTTTGGGTTGATCAACTGCGAGAGCCGGTACCTGACGGCCGAGAGTTTCGGCTACAAGGTGAACGCCTCGGCCCCCAGCCTGAAGCGTAAGCAGATCTGGACGTTGGAGCAGGATGAAGCCGACAGCTCCGTCGTCTTCCTCAAGAGCCACCTGGGCCGATATTTGGGAGCCGATAAAGACGGGAAGGTGCGTTGCGAAGCGGAGCAGCCCGGCCGGGATGAAGGCTTCAGCATCATCACCCAGTCGGACGGGCGTTGGGCGCTGCAGTCGGCCCCCCACCGGCGTTTTTTCGGGGGGCGGGAGGATCGCCTCTCCTGCTTCGCCCCCAGCGTGACGGAGGGCGAGCTCTGGACCGTGCACTTGGCCATGCACCCCCAGGCCAACCTGCTGAGCGTCAGCCGCCGCCGCTACGCCCACCTCAGCCCCCAGGAAGACGAAATCGCCACCGACAGCAACCTGCCCTGGGGGGTGGACGCCCTCATCACCCTCTGCTTCCAGGACAAGAAGTACAGCCTGCGCACGGCCGACGAGCGCTACCTGCGCTGCGATGGCACCCTGGTGCCCCAGCCCGGCGACCGCACCGGCTACACCTTGGAGTTCAAAGCCGGCAAATTGGCTTTTAAAGACTGCGATGGCAAATATCTGGCCCCCACCGGCCCCACCGGCACCCTCAAATCCGGCCGGAGCTCCAAACCGGGCAAAGATGAACTCTTCGACCTAGAGGAGAGTCACCCCCAGGTGGTCTTCACGGCGGCCAACGGCAGATACGTCTCCATCCGGCAGGGTAAGGGGGGGCTTCCCTGCCCACCCCCGGGACCCCCGCGGCAGGGGGAGAGCCTACAAGAACGGCAGGGGGGAGGTGGTGGGGAGGGGGATCATGGTGGGAGCCTTAGTGGAGCCGTGCAGGGCTCTGTGGGGGTGTGTAAGGGGGGGTGTGTGTGTGCGCAGGGGGTCTGTGGGTGTGCACAGGTGTGTGTGCATGTGTG